ACAGTGTCCTTCACATGCTGATATCCAAGAGAGGGAGTTCCACAGTCACAAGATGGAGGAATAGAAAGCAGTATTCAATGTTTACTTCAGATTAGCTCCACGTCAGAAATGATCATGCTTGTCATATGTCTCTCTCCATAGAGGCTGAATCATCATGTTAATCACATAGCTATCATATGCCTCAAACAGTCCTGATGCTCTTCTAGGTAATCACACATCCTGTCATGTTCACAGCTACAGTTGGGATACCTTTGTTATCATGTGTTCTCTGATACTGGAAGAGGACATTCAGTATTTTCCCAACAGTGTTAGATGTAGATGTGGTGGCACATAGTCAATGTTCATTTTCCTCTTTTTCCACAGCGACCCGATGGAAATCCCGTCCAACGAAGCCCACATCCCTTCCAACCTGAAGACGCTGAACCAGTACAGTATCTCCGAGATCAACCACCGCCTCAAGAACTACCTCAAGTTCCTCTTCGTCCGCGAGCCCTTCGAGAGGCTGGTCTCCGCGTACCGCAACAAGTTCACCCTCAAGTACAACTCGTCCTTTCACAAGCGTTTCGGCACCCGTATCATCCGGCGCTACCGCAAGAACGCGACCCAGGAAGCCCTCGTCAACGGTGCCGATGTGAAGTTCAAAGAGTTTGCCGAGTACCTGGTGGATCCGGCGACTCAGCGCGACGGCCCTCTGAACGAGCACTGGCAGACGGTCTACCAGCTGTGCCACCCGTGCCACATCCACTACGACATGGTGGGGAAGTACGACACTCTGGAGGAAGATGCTAACTACGTGCTAAGGCTTGTGGGTGTCGGCGATTCCTTGCGTTTCCCGAGTTACGCCAAATCCACTCGCACCACGGACGCCATGACGGCACAGTTCTTCAGCAATATCAGCACTCAGCAGCAGATCCAACTCTACCAGCTCTACAAGTTGGACTTCCTCATGTACAACTACACCACACCTAGCTACCTGCGGATGGACTAATGGAGGACGGAGACTCTGAGAACTGATGCCTCGATTAAGGAGAGGCAAACGAAAAGAGTGGAGGCAAACTTGATTTTTTTGTAAAACTTGTCGTACCTTGCAGGGTCTGAAATAGACGTACAAACAGGTGTTGAAAGAAAGAAAGAAAGAAAGAAAGAAAGGTAATGCGTGCTAGTCTGGGCATAACTTTGAGGATTGTCCAGTCAACTGATTCGATGTGAGTGTGGGCAAAATGGATCAAATGCATGCAAAGACTTTAAATGTGTGGGTGAAGCAGGTCTTCAAGGTGTTTTTAAAAGGGGTCTCGTACTCTCAGAGGACGGACCTAAAGAGGCACTCTCCTCATGATACATGTTTAAACAAACTGCTGACTAATTAGGCTGCTTCAGATTCTACAAGGCAAAACAGTGGCCTCGCACGCGCCCTGACCCCAATGCATCGTGGGAGCCAAGCTTGTCTCCCCTCTGTCCCCCCGATCAATAGAGAAACTCCGTCAAATTGTAAAACACAATTCATGTCCTTCGCTCCAATGCCAGTCGCTCCTGCCCATTCAAACACTTCAGAGGGACACCGGCTCAAGGACACCCTGTAATATATGACTCCACGTCCAAGACCCTCTACAGCTGGAGCATCACGGCCTTCAGACAACAATCAGACCATCACGGTATCATTACGAAGTCGGTTGAAGCACCTGTTGTGTTACACCTTAAAGACCCTGAGAAAACTGAAATGTACAGAGAGAGGAAGTGCTGAATAAATCATTGCCTGTAACACCAAACATCCTTAACACTCTGAGCTACAGGACATGTTTAGAAAAGGTGCAGGATGTTCTCACGTGACTTTGAGTGACTTTGCGCAGAGCTTGAAAAGAGTGTGGTAGTGAAAGGGTTAAAGAAGGCATCTCATCACCTGATCAGCGGACACTTCCACAAAGCCCCTGCAAACACGTCTTTTAGTAAATTAAGAATATCTTGTTGTCTTCTTGCTTATTGTTATTTTATTGTATTATGAAGCATTGCTGCGAGCAGCAATAACAATATATTATTTAATTCGCTTTTCTTATTAAAGAGAGAAAGATTGTATTGCTTTTTTTTCCTGGACTGATGAAAATGTTAGGTCTTAAAATGTCTTCTCTCTTCTTCTTCTTCTTCTTCTTCTTCACTACTTGCCTCAATACATTATTGGTACATTGCAGCATTTCCATTTTTCGAAGGGTGTATACGGTACATTTCCATGGCTTTGTCCTTCTGTGTCTGAAACCATCAGATTTTTGACTTCTTTCCCATTTCCTCTTGTCAAACATTTGGTGCCAAAATGCCTGCCAGAGCCTCAGAGATCCACACTCAGTGTTCAGGACACATCTTTGAAGTTGAGCAAATTCATAAGTCTATCCTCCTTGACCACAACATGAGACTCGCTGTTGTACTTTGTAAACATATCGAGAATCTAATGCCCCCATCTCAGAGTCAGAGACTGTATCTCATAGTGTAATGTAATTAATGATAGTGATGTCAAGGTCAATAACTGCACTCTCTATCCCGCGCTGAATTGTACAGCAGAGAGATAGAGATAGGGAAAGAGAGACAGTATTTTATTCAAACCTCGTTGTGAATTATAAACCACTCCAGCTTCAAGGTAAACATTTTTGAACAAGAAATATGATTTTCTCATGCAGTCTGTTAGTCTGGTTATTTATAAGAGAAATTCCTTGAGTTTTATTTATAGTGTTGTCCATCATTCCTGCTGGTATTGATTTGATTCACCAGATTCTGAGTAGAGATGTTGCTGATGCTGTTATACTGCATATGTCTGGATTACAAGACGGCAGGTATTACTAATGGATCAAGTAAAATGAGTCTGGTTTTATTTTTACTTATTTTAAAGCCCAGTGAAGTCTAGACACCATCGATTCCACCGCACAATATCACACATTTTTTATCAGAGGTCCCTACATCTGCATAACATCAATTTAGATATTCAGTTTTGAGTGTACACAAAAGGCAGGAATAGCAGTAGAAAAACAATGTAAAAAGCCAGAATTATGATTGTATGTATATTAAGTACATAATCTTCATCAGTGTTAACATTTAAAGGTGTAATGAGTTAAAGAGCCTTGAATCCTGTTATCAACATTTAGTTGTAAGATCTTCGATTGTTCAGCAAATACATTCTGCATAATCCTAAATCATCAAAGGGGTCTTACAGTCTATAGTACGTAAAAATAATGGACAGTTGACCTTGAGTTTTGCAATTCTGGGTCAACTTCTTCATTTTCTTGTCTTTAAAATGAAGCTGGTAAAATGTACATGATTAATTGACACATTATTCTTCACATTTTAGCTGTAAACCCTTCCTTGTAACTGTATTATTGCTGTAGTGTGTATGTATGCCAGTGTAAGGGGGGTGTAATGAGAGAACGGGCCTTATTTCTTTGTTTTTGTTTGCCCCCACACACACAGACATCTGGCTCTAATAAAGGAGAAAAGCTACCGTTACCCGTGCACAAACAATGGCTGTATTCTCAGCACGGCTTCCACAAAAACACACACATTCAGCTTTCACATTAGCGCTCCTGCTGATGTTGATGCCACGCAGCATCTTACTCAGCAGTTACACCTCTGCACTTTAACACACTGACTGAGCCTCAGCCTAAACTGCTCATTTAGCCCCGAGAAAGGAAGACAAACGATACAGAAAGGACCTCTTAGGCCTCGCTATTTTCTCCTCTTACACCCCAAACCCAAAAATTGCCTACTGCATATAAAAAAGTGAGTCAGTGGTGGACAAAAACAAACAGCCACATTTGTTTTGTGGCTATTCTTAACTCCCAGCTGTGTATATACAACGGGTATAATTATGTTGTTTTCGGACGATGTCCAATGTTGGACTGAATTGCAGGAATACTAAAGCTTCTTAACATATCCGAGGGAGGTTATTCAAGGATGTGATGTGTACTTTTATTTATTATTTATACAGACAGAAACATTTGATATACAACAAAGAATAGTGTCATGAACGGTTAATATCAATACCAAATAAAGGGGTGGTTTGATAACATGGGAAATATGCTAATTTGCTATGCGCTAGCAGCTAGCAGCATGTTAAAAATACTGATGTGTAGCAGCTAACATGCTAAGAGTGGTCACCATCATAGGGTGTAAGCATGCTAACATTTATTGATTAGCACTAAACACAAAGTGCAGCAGAGGCTCATGGGAAAAAAAGAGTTGAGCAGATTGAATTTTCCCGCCTTTTTCTTCTGTTTTTAAGCTAAGCTACGTGGCTGCTAACTGTGTGGTATTCAAATAAGTATATTTCCCACCCTCTCCCTTAAAGGCCGAAGAGGCATTGGAGTACAAACTAAAGGTTTGTAAAGGTTTTTATTTTGACACCAAAACATATTTCAGCATCTATTTAACCAATAATATAACCTTTCATCAGCATAGAGGGACGAAGCCGGGTTTTTATTTTGTTTCTCCTTCTCTTCCTGTTTCACTTATTTATCTACAGCTCAAATGCATTTTTTTTGTGTACAGTGTAAACATGATGTCCTTCATTCTGCTGTTGTTTTTAAGCCGTCATGTTCAGTTCACCTTGGCCTTCCTCCTTACACACACACACTCTCTCTCTCTCTCACACACACACACACACCCACACACACACACACACACACACACACACACACACACACACACACACACACACTATTCATTCCTTTATGTTCATTTTAAACTCAATGTCCTGCCTATCGCTATGCTGTTTTAAACACTCTGCTGTAATAATATAATAAGGAGAAAAAGAGGGGGTGAATGGGTGAACACATGACCTCCATATACAAGCATTTATTTGTACTGCATTATAAAGTTGATTTAAGATTTGGGGTTTGCTGGATTACATATGATACAAAAGAGGAATTGTTTTAATTTGTCCTTAAAGTGCAAAGGTTTATTCCAGCTTCACTGAACAAAAATTCATATTTCAAATGTCAGAAGGTATCGATCAACCCTCCTCTTACTTTTAAACTCACTAATAATCCCCAGTTGAACAGAAACATAAAACTGTGTGTGCCAGACATGGGACGAATCCCGAGAAAATTCCCTTACCATAAAGTGATGGTGATTATAAATTGTGATAATAGCCTTACTTAAGTGACTTCCAACATATAGGTATTCATGTTTTCTTTATTCATGCAGAAGAATTCTAATGATTTATATTTTTCTTTATTTAAGAGTTTTGATTTGTTTGTTTTTCACCACAAAGCGTTAAAATGCACATACATTAAATATGTCCTATATGTGATGCCTTTTAATACTTTGTACCTGAACACAAGTTAAGACATTTCCAAATTTGTAAGTTCTTTTTAAATATTTGAAAGCATATTTTGATCGTCCCATGTCTGGAGTGTGCGCAACAAGATGTTCCCAAAACGTAAAATTACCCCACTTCTCTGTGATATAGTCAACATTTTAATTCCATGTTGTTCCCATTGACGGCTATTTTTGCCATGTTGGATAAACAGGATGATGAATGGGGGCGTCATCTCGCCACAAAGTGAGCTATCAGCGTAACTGAAGAGGCGTTCTGTCATTACTGTCTTCGCTGTGTGCAGGGAAAGTGTGAAGAGCGTACCCAGTGGAATACATTTAAATAATCTTCTTTAATTACTGTGGGAGGAAGGCTGTATCACAAATGTACAGTATTTGTAAAATCTATCCATGTTTCATGTGTCTACGTCCTCCTTCAGTGACCTTAGATCGTGCGTGTGTGTGTGTGTGTGTGTGCGTGTGTGTGACCTTTTGAGGAATGAGTCCTAAATCAGCTGTGTCTGTATCTGAATTTATACCATGTCATCAGCATTTCTCACCGTGTGTGTGTCCGAGTGCCTCATGTGCTGTAACTACAAATGTAGTAGCTGGATAATGGCGGTGTGTGTGTGTTGACAGTGTGTGTGTGCTGTACCCACTCTGCCTTTAGAGTGATCGTCCCTCTGAAGTAGGCAAGAGTCTAATTCAAACGGACGCCACTTATTTATTTATTTATTCTCAGTACCCATATTTCTTTCTTCCGATAACCATAGCAACACACCTAAAGAATCTCCTCTTTTTGTTCTCGACGGCTTCTCACTGTTTTACTCCGTTTATTTTCAGGCGCACTCAACCGAAATCATGAATAATTGACTGTACACTGAGTTAAGTGTAGAGTGGTTCATCTTGTCCGATGTTTTCACAATAAAATGACACTGAAACTCCCAGAGACTCCTGGTGTTTTATTTCATTTGTGAAATTTAAAATGTGTGAAGGAATATACCTCGGGCCCGGAGCACTTAAACACATCATGAATTCATCTCACTTTCCATGCATGCATCCATATCTTATTGTACATTCAAAGCATCTTTTTTATCTTTTGTTCAAGGTATTTGAATGAAACTTGACACGTTGTCATCATTGATGTCTTCACCATAAAGCCAAAAAAAGTTACTAAAGGGTTATTAAGTATACAACCGAACACTAAACAAGTCAATTAACTACAATTTCGACATACGTTTTTATATAAATATTTCGGACTTACTATAATTAAGTATTTTTTTCTCAGACATTTTGTCATACTATACTATTTCGTTTTGTTCTGATGTTTTTGACATAGGCTATGTGGGTCATTTATCACCTATTTAACCCTTAAGCGATTCGGCTCCTCCCACCCCCGCCCTGTCGGCAGGCAGCAGCAGATGGAGGTAATGCAGAAACGCAGCAAGGCCATTCACTCCTCAGGTAAAAACACACAAACATCCACCATCTACCTGACCATCAACTCTCTTATAATCTTTGTTCTCTGCACAGTAGAAAGTGTACATACTGTCATAAGTACACTTAATATTTACTTAAAGGGGACCTATCATGCAAAATGCACTTTTGTACGTCTTTTATCCACCTATCAGGGGAATGAGAGACCGCTCGAAAGCGCTGGAGACGCTGTAGTAGTACATATGCCAGGCCTGTAGGTGGCGCTGTAGTCTGCCACAAAAGCAGAATCAGCCCATGCAAAAACAGGGCTGGAAAAGAGCAAATAGAGCGAAATGAGGCATGGCTAAAATGCATGATCATGTTTTATATAGGTATGGCCCTAAAATATATGTTTCAAACATAGCATGATAGGTCCACTTTAACCATAATTATCAAAATGAACATCATTCTGTATTGAACAAGACTTAAATCCAGCCATTTGCACCTTAAACTTGTCAAGAAATGTTTAATAAGGCTATAAATCCATTAAGAAGTAGGGTCATTTTCTCATAGACTTCTATACAATCAGACACCAAAGGACTAGCCCCCTGCTGGTCATTACAAAAAGTGCAGCTTCAATCCTGAGACGCAGATGTTGTTGCTCGATCTGATCGTATAGATATCTTGGGTTATTTAGATATATTTTGGTATATAGCCTCCAGTAGTCCATTATGCACCTGCTATTTCTAAACCACAGCCTAATTAAAGCTTCAGCAGCTGTTTGTGTCTCATCTTCCATCGCTGACCGTCTCTAAGCCTTCCTGCATAAACCCGATGTCTCTCATTATAGCAAAATGTGTTCTGCTGCCTTCCTTTAAAGTAAAAAGGTCCCGGATCCAGAAAAGACCACGTTAAAAATACCCCAAATAACAGAAAGGCAGAGTCAGCTTGCTCTCATCTGTGAACACCGCAGATTGGAGCGTTGTTAGTAACATAAACAATCCACTCACTGACCTTCTATAGAGTCACAGAGTGTGGGAGAGGAGAGCCAGCCGAATGTAACTCTGCAGCACGATCTGCTTTACAATAACTGATAAAGGCTTATTCACATAGCTTTTGCGTGTTTTAAGAGCGTTTTAATGGTGTTTTGAAAATGTATTTTTTCTCATATTTTTCGACAGCATTGTATAATATGTTGAACATATTATTTAAAAAACGACATAGTATATTACGTTGAACATTTTGTGAGGACAAAGGCATTTCTCCAGATTGACAGTCATGACAATCATGTCCGTTAAAGGCTTGTTTTGTTATTAAAGAATCTTGTTGGAAATATATAATAAGAAGCTCTTGCAAAAATGTATTTGTATTTCCTATTATGCACAACTAAAGGCAAGGAGAAGTCACATCATGCATCAAAACAGAACTTTTCGACCTACTAGAGATTCACAATTTTTTGTATTCTGCAAAAAATATATTATCAGATGCCCATTAGTGTTTAAAAAAAGGTTTTTCTAAACTGTAAGGCAGCGCAGGGCAAGTTTATTTATATAGGCAATTCAGTCCTCTTTTTCATATATAGACTTAAGAGTTTTTGAAGGTCTTTTCTCTCCTCTCTTGTCTATGGAGTCACATGCTAAACATCCGGCTACTATAAGGTAAACGTTAGAGTTCACACGAGTTCTAACTATAAGGATTAGACAAAAGTTGTGTCTTCAAAGTCTTCCTCTACCATAAAACGCACTGTGCAGGGATGAGAGTAATTCATTTGGAGCGTGCAGAGGAATTTTAACATTAGCGTGAAACCTATCGGACACTTTGCAGTCAGTGAACGTGATGGGAATCTGTCTACGCCTCGTTATCACAGATAACATCAGATTTCCTGAGATTTCAGTTTCCCATGACAGGTCTTTATGGCTTGTGACTGCAATTAAAGATCCAGATACGCATCAACTTCTTTCATCTCAGAAAAGAGATGCTTTTAGTAAGAAACCCTCTCCTCAGCCCACTGGTCAGCGATATAAAAACTGTCAATGCACAATTTTTAAGGCGGGTTTTTACAATAAATCTCTCTTTCATCGTGTGGTTAGTCAATTTGTCATCCATTAAGAGGAAAAGTGTTGGCAGGGGATCCAGACTGGATGGATTATCTAATGTCCTGGGATACATCAGCTGCTGATTTATGCAAATTATGACATTTAGAGTTGAGGCTAACTGAACAGAATGTAATTTAAGTAATATCTGTGCCAATATTTAAGGAAGTTCGCCATCTGTCATCAGGCGGCAAAACGTAGAGGGTTGATTCTCTGAATCGGGTGCCCTTTGAGTCCCCCAAGCTTACTTCAAAGATTTTAAATGAAAGGAAACTACAAAATATAGTTTAAAGCACTGAATTAAAGGGTGTTTTGCATTACAATGTAAAACTAAATATATATATTTTGTTTTCTAATAATTAGTTGTCTTTGTAGTAGACAACACACATTTGTGCATGTCCTCACTGAGCATCATCACATATTCATTGAATATTAAACAAATAACAATTATACCAACATTTTGATGCTAACATAATCATAATGCGTGTATAGTTTAAGAAAAAAAAAATCTGAAAAAATACATGAATTATCTATGAAATTGCACTATTGACACTCGTCGTTTGTTTCAAACCCGTAACGCTATACATTTTACCCCCCTATTAAAATAATGGATCAGTCCATGTGACATCTGCATTGAGGGAGTGACGTCACAGAAGTCTATTGAGGAAAAGGCGGCAAGAAAGGCAAGTGTCAGTGTCTTTTCTTACCTATATTTCATTTTTTTATTGTCAGATTGTGATTGTCAAACTCAACATTTCAATTCTGTTGTATGAATTACTTATGGTAAACAATTATTTCGGAAAAATTAAACAATAGTTTTGCAAAATATTACAATTGTATGATGTCCTTAAATACCATGTGTCTTCGCTAAAAAAAGGTCTCATGGCTACTTTTTGCCAAAAACTTAAACCCCGTCACATTCAACCCCGTCACATTTTCTCAAGGAAATTCCTAGTAATTATATATATTTTGTGCCTGAATCACTTGTTTCAAAGTGGTTGGTGTTACATACTTTGTACATTTTCTCGTCACAGCTGCTCCTTCCCATTTTAGTTACGATACTGTCAATTTGCTTTGTCCAATGCCAAGCAACTTAGTTTAATTTACCTGTTCCACTGGCTGAACAGATGTAGCAAGGTGTAGCTTGTGTTAAGTCCTAGTTAGCTAATGCTAGGATGCTACAGTGCTTATCTAAGATATTGTACCTGCTAAACATCAACCTGCTAACGTTTGCTAAACATCAACCTGCTAAATTTGTGAGAAAACTTGTGAGCATGTTAGCATGCTAAGGTTAGCATTAGCACAAAGACCGGCTATGTGCTAAGTAAAGCCTTACAGAGCTGCTAGCAAGCTAGACTGTTTTGTTCCAAGATTAACTGACATAATACCGGAAATAAAACATAATTAGGAATATTATATTCATTTTCTTCTGCCAATTCTTTATTTATGCATCAGATGCAATGCATTCTCCTGACAATGAAGACGAATTATGTCCCATTTAAGACGACAGCTGGCAAAAACAGCCACCGTAGGTAGAGGCAGGATTTATTTCGGAGTATACGACCTCTTTGCCCGGATGTGGGCTTTTGTGTTGTCACACAATTTAAGTGGTGAGGTAATGTGTTGGATTAGAGGTCTGACAGCCAGCGCCAGTTGGTGCTTTGGGGAGGCTATATTACATTACCTCGCAATCATTTGCAGACTCCTAGGCACACACATTTACATAAAATCATTTATCAGCCTATGTGTTCTGTCAGTGCACACTTCAGGCGTACTAATCCTCCAAAGCATGCTTACAAAGTGAGACAAAAAAAGGTGAGAAAACACAGGTGCCCTTGAAAGGTAAAGTAAAACACACTTCCCCAGGGATGCCTCAGCTTTTAAAGCTAATGAATAGATAAATGTGGAGCAGAGTGTGAGAAATAAAATGGAAAGTTACAAGCAGCCACTGTTGGACTTTTGATGGTAATTCTCAGATGTCAACGGACTTGAGGGTTTTACTTGTCAGCAGTTCTATTTTTTTATCAGCAGCTTCTGGTTACTTTTTCTGAGAGAGGCACAGGCAGCTGGGAATTTCAAGGGAACACACACTCAAGATGGTCTCAGTGTGCGTGCGTGCGTGCGTGTGCGTGTGTGTGTGTGTTTGTGTGTGTGTGTGTGTGAGAATCAGAGCGAGAGGGATAGAAGGAGAGCGATAGAGCCAGAAGACAAAATGAGGCACAAAAACATGAGGCGGCATAATCTAATCCATTCCTTCTTCTCAATACAGACCTTCAAATAGACGGGGGCAAAGGGTACAAATAAATCCCAAATTCAAGGATTTGCTGCAAAAAACACAATCAAGGGGGTAAACAGTGTTTGACCTCAACATTTCAAACATAGGCAAAGATCACACAAAACTGCCCCATGAAAAGTATTTCACTTCCACCCTGCTTCATGATGTTGTGACATTATGAAGTGCATTAAGCTGCTCTTAATAAACTGCAGATGAAACGTAATCAGGGGGCTTTGCTATATTTGGCCAACGTCCACCACTGTAGAGCTGGGTGGTCCCGAAATTCTGCCTTTGAAACAAACACCAACTTGTAACAACCTTTGGACAACAAAGCCAAAACAACGTCCTGACCCAGCACATATGGAGCTGACGTGAGAATGGTGAAGCCTTTTAGTGGCTTAAAATATTCAGACTGTCAACAATGTTAGTCAGTGTTAATGCGACTGAATAGCACTCACTTCACGCAGCGTTTCAGGGTCCGACCCTCGCAGAGATTTGCTGGCAGTGTGTTGCAGCTAGTGCAGAACTCGAAGGTCTCCTCCATCTTCTTGAACATCTCCTTGTAGTTGCGGAACGAGATTGCCTTCGCCTTTCCCTCAACGGTGGCCCTAGAATCAGACAATTATTCAGGGTGGTATTTGAGTGAGATATAGGCATAGAGGCAATGCAACAGATGATGTTTTAAAGGTCCCCTATTATACAGTTTTTCCATCAATATATTATAGGTCTCAGATATATAAAGAACATTTCTCTGAAGTGCCATAATCCCATCTGTTTCAGCCCTGTTTCCAAAGTGCTGATTCTCTGTCTGTTACTTTAGATGAAAATAAGGAGCCACTCCCCCACGCCCCTCTGAGAGATATTTGGTTAAAAAGATCACAATGGTGCTCTAGGAGGAGATTCAGGTGATTTGGCGTTACCTTAGTTATTGGCTAATGCACAAGCCAAGAAATCGCTATGACATCATAAAGTGGCCAAAATCTCATCAGCTCGTTTTCAAACAGGTTTTTATATAAATGGATCAGAACAAAAAGTGAGCGAATCCTTTTTCCTGAAACGTTCAGAATCGCTTTACACAGAGGGGACACTTGTGTATAAAAGACGTATTTTGCACAATAGGTGACCTTTAAGATAGTTTTAGCAGTTTTACCTGTATTCTCCGTAGTCCTTCATGTTGAGCTTGTTGAGAATTACCTTGGAGAGGCCCGGGACGTTGGAGTCCAGAGAGTGAAAGCCGGAGAGGACAGAGAAGACGCTGTCAGTCCTGGGAGCGTCAGGGAGTGGGAGCGCTGGGATGTGTGACGCCATGTTGTCTACTTTAGTTTCCACTATAGGACAGAAAAGAAACCTTTAATTAACACAGAATCCCATAAAATACTGTATTAAACACCTTCTGCTTAGTGTTGAGTTTATTTCTGACATTTCAAGAGTGAAGAAACGCCCTCTGAAAAACTTGTTTTTGCAGATTTTGTGGTTTAACTTCTCATTTTGCTGCAGTGATGTCCAGGTGTACTAACTAGTGTACATTGTGACATCACTTGAACAGCCTGTCTTCCTGGAAGCAAACTCTGTATGGCTTTTAAAAATCACTTTAACCTCACTTTAAAACCTTTTGTTTCTTTCACTGTGTTTCAATATGTGTCTGGATTTGGCTGCTGCATTTTTATTTTTCATTCCCTTTGTGTTTTAATGTGTTCAGAAATCACTTTTAAACTGTGTTTAAAGGCTCAGTATAAATATAGATAATTATTATTACAACAATTAGAGATTGTCCTTGCTTATCAAACACGTGCAAACCCAATTTGCTCATAGTTAACAAAAATAGGCTCATTTCTGTTATGATAACTTATGTTTTCAGTTGAATTACTATGCAGCGTTTTAGACTCTGAATGGCCCTTGGATCATGGATCTGTCAACATAGCCTCCCTTTGACGTCCTTAAAGAAAATCTGATCCATTGTTTACCAGCCTTTGTGTGCTGTGCGCTTACTGACAGACACAAAGCAGAGTCAGAAGGGTGTGAGACACCCCCCCTCCGCCTCATCAGGACACACTGACAAATGAGAAGAAGCAGGACTGGAAATGTTGACATACAGTCCTCAGCCCAAAAAAAGGTATTCGTCCTATGCGACCAAGTAACACAACAAAGATTTGCCCTGTTATTAGAAGACTCCTGACAGGGTGTGAAATGCTCTTCTTGATAATACATCACTGCTGCTGCAGGAGCCACAAAAGTGTCTTTGGGACTGATGATAACATTTAGAAAAGAAAAATACACCAAGTAAGCTGCTGCAGTTTGACTTATGCCAAGGATATGGACTCTTCACCAAGCAGCATGGAAACTGGCTATACATAAACTGACACCGTATAGATTCCTATTCTCAAGGCTGACACAGTATCTCAACATAGTGTAAAGTACTCAGTAGACTGAAGACCTTTAAAATACACCCTCTGTCACTCATATTCACTCCGACCAAGACCCTGATGACAGAAGCTCTTACAAAAGAAGGATCATGCACATTCAGATGGATGGAGGCATGTTTCTTCATACTGCTACCCTTGACAAAAACCCTCCGTCCGAACAAACCTTGCTTGCGTGTCACATGAATCTTGGCATGACACGTGGGAGAATAAGAGGCGAGGGAAATGTGATCATCTGATGGTGGCACTCTTGGTGGCTTAAGTAGCTTGTGAAGTCTTTCTTTAGATTTCACTGGGAGCTAACATCCGATACTTTGCATATGTGTAAGTTAGAATCAGATTTCTGTTTGGTTTAGATTAGGTGCCAGTTGTTCTTGTTTATAAAGTCTTTAATAAACAAGAACCATGCATACAAAAACTAAAATCTTTAAAAAATACAAATCTCTAACATACAGAAGTGCTTCACCTGGAATTGAAAACACTGCCTTTAACTCCAAGCAGCTGGCAGCAATAACACTATTCTTAACTTTCACAATAAAAGCGTCACCTGATCACACTCCCTTGCACCCAGCATGCCCCTTCAGTTTCACAGAGAAACAACTTTCCCTCTACTTTCTCTGGGACTCTTTTCAATTTAATTCACAAGTGTTGCTGGGAAATGCTTTTAGCCTCATCATGTCGCAGAGTAAATTAAAAAAGGATATCTAATTAGCTCCTCCATATCTACAGAGCCGGGTTGGAAATGAACAGATTTCCCACGAGAGGGCAGGTTTCTTTTTTTTTTCTTTCTTTTCTCACATATCTGCCCGTGACACTGTTATTAGGCTTTTAGCATGCAAAGTGCTACTATCGGGAAACCACTGCATTATCATCACACTGAATGGCGTGAACACAAGGACACGATAACTGGAGAGGGATTTTACCTTCAGTCTCCAGGTGAGAAGAGAGACTTCAAGGTGAGGTTTCTTGGTAGAAGGAAGGAAGTATTTGACAGCTCCTTATGCTGGATGTCAGCACCTCGTGGAGCCCTTTATTGTCTCTACTCGGGTCAGTAATGAACTCAGCACCACAGAGCCAACGTAGGGAAAGAAGCCTGGGGTGGGGGAGTGACATTTGGGGAGAGGGGGG